TTTTTTTATCTCTTTCACTCAACCCAACCCACCCTTCATTTACAAGTCATCTCCTCTAGGAAGACTTCCTGAAGTAATTCCCATGCATTCTTTAATCTTTCAACAGAATCCTCTCAACATCCTCTTCTCCCCTCTTCTCACTTTAGCATCTTTACAATTTGGTAATGACAGATTTTGGTTGATGATGGATACACTTTACCTGCCTTATCACATTCCCTAAGGGCGGGGACCATGACTGTCTTCTCATCATTCTCCCATACAGCTCTTTGTAACTATCTCTCCCCCTTGAAGTCTCCTAAAGATTTGTGGACTCTTCAAAAGGATGGAGATGTTACTGATCTGGAGGGGAGATAGACTGAAGAATAAACAAAAAGAGAGTAGAAAAAGAAAGGAGAGAAAGGGCTAAGGCCTATCCCACCTCTAGCATTCCCCAGGGCCATGCATGGGTATGGAGCTACAACATTCTACACCACCACCAGTAGATATCCAGGAAGGTGGTGGTAAGGAGTGGTAATAGATATGTGGGAGGCATAGCTATTAAAAAGATATGGTGCTAACAGAGAGGCAGGATCCAGTCAAGGTCAACTGAAGCAAACCAAGCCAAGCCAACACGCACCAAAAATCTCCTCCACCCATCAGGCTCTCTGGACATAGAATGAATCCAAGGGGGATTAGAAGATCAAGTATAGCATTGTTAGGGATTCTGGAGAGCAGAGGAGAAAGTTTTGAGAAGTGAGACATTTGCTGGCAGCATCTGTCTCCAGATGTCTTTTCTCTGTACTACATGTCCTAGAATCATCAGGTGTGAACTCTAGTAACCATGGCATAAAGGCTGAGCTGAAGCATCGTTAGTAGGAATCATCATCACCTAGTTTTAGAAGGCAAATGACAACTAAACTATGAGCTCTTTAATCAGACTAAATGTCATGTCTCATATCACACAAGCATATTCCAGAACTGCGTCTGGCATCTGTGAGTGAGGAATGACTATTGATTGAGAAGGGTAAGAATATCTTTGTCTGGCATCTAGAAGGTCTAAGCAGAGTCAATCAAAGGAGCTTTTCACTTTGCCCATGTGGTGATGGGCGATTTAATGACTGGGTATATATTTATTCAGACCTACTGTGTGCTAGGCAGTTTTCCAGGTTCAGGGAAAGCAGCAGTGAACATGAAGGCTAGGTTCTTTTTCCTATAGAGTTTCCTTCTATTGGATAGAAACAGATCAAAACAGATAAAGAGATCATTTCAGATAGTAATAAAGGAAACTACTTGAGGTATGATGATGAAAGAAATCCTCTCCGAATATGTTACCTTTGAGTTGAATGAGAAGATGGAGACAGCCATGTAAAGCTCTGGAGGGAGAGGGGCAGGAAGAGCAGAAGGAACAGTGAGCGTGACAGCCCCACAGCAATATCAGCCTTGGCATGCTCAAGGAACATAAAATATAAAGCACTATGGCTAAAGCATAGGAGTGAAATGGGAAGGGGCAGGTCTACTTGTATACCTCGTTATGTAAGACAGTGGGTTCCCCTTAGGTAGACATTGGAGAGCTTTTAAAACTCCTGTTGCCTGGGATGTGTCCCCAGAGATTCTATTTAATTGATCTGAGGTGTCTCCTGGGCATTGGGAGTTTAAGTGTTCCCCCAGACAATTCTAATGTGCAACCAAGGATAAGAACCACTGACAAGACCTTGAGGGCCATAGCAAGACCCTTGGATTGATGACAATTGAAGAGACCCAGAGGCATTTCTGCAATACTCTAGACCCAGATCCAGAAAGAACCTAATGTCTTGTAGGCCTTTGTCTGGAGGTGGAGCCAAGAAAATAAAGCAATACAAAAGAGACGAAAGAAGATAGAGAAGAAGACCCAGAGAGGCAAAGAAATTCAGAGAAATCCAGACAAATTGGAAGGGACAAACAGAGACAAGTGCGGATAGTTCCAAAGAGCCAGAGACTGAGGGAGAAGGGAAAGCCTGTGTATTAGTTTCTTATTTACTGCTGTCCAAATTATCACAAACTTAGGTTTGAAATGTGTGAAGCAACGCACATTTCTTACAGTTCTGGAGGTCAGAAGTCTGAAATGAGTCTTACTGGTCTAAAATCAAGGTATCAGCAGGGCTGAGTTCCTTCTGGAGGCTCTAATAGAGAATCCGTTCCTTTACTTTTTACAGCTTCTAGAGGCTGCCCACTTCCTTTGCTCACATTCCCTTCCTCAGTCTTCAAAGCCAGCAATGTCTGCCGAGTACTTCACATGTTTCTATTTATCTGGTTGTCCTCTTCTGCTTTCGTCTTTCACTTTTAAGCACTCTTGTGATTATACTATCCTCACTTGGATAATCTGGAATAATTTCCCTACTTTAAACTCAGCTAATTAGCAACCTTAATTCCATCGGCAAACTTAATTCCCCTTTGCCTTATAAGATTACATATTCATATATTCCAGAAATTAGGATATGGACATCTTTGGGGAGACTATTATTCTACCTAACATAACATAGAAGCCTATCTTTTACAAAACAGGTTTTGGTTGTATTTGTAGTCTTTTACTTGGGCAGCTGTGCGTTATATGAGCATTGTACTTGGAGGTTTGTTTCAAGAAGAGTGTACATGTGTCTATTTGTTAGTTTGTTTATTAGGGGATAGTATTTGAATGTCTCCCTGATAAGTATGGAAGGGGGAGAAGGATGCTTGGAGGAGAAGTGTAATATAGTGCTGCTGTTCCATAAAGACATACTGCTGTTGTACTGTTGTTTTTATTGACAATAAAACTAATGACAGAGTATCTCTTTGCATGTTTTCTTTGAGTTTGTCTATCTGTCCCTAAATAATACTGGATGTTTGTCCCTATGATAGTCATTGTATATGAGAGTATTGGGGCATCTCTGAGATGTTTGCATAATATGAATGTCTGAGCACTTTTGGGCATTTGGACATTGATGGATGCACACGCATGTTTGCACAACAGTGTTTGTGATCATAATTGTAGACATCTGGATGTTTACTTACTCACAAACCCCCAAGGATATCCAGACAGACAGGCCTAGTTTGAGAGAGGTAGAAGAGCTAGAAAGAAGAGGGAGCAGGGAGGAAGAGAGGAGAGGAGGGAAGAGGAGAGGGAAGGAGAGAGGAGACAGGGTAGATGGAGGTGAGGAAAGAGGGCACAAGGAAAGATCAAGAAAAAAAATCAGAAAGCAGAAGAGAATTCTAGGGATCTGAAATTAAAAAAAAAAAAAAAAAGAGGTGGGGTGGAGTCACAGCAAGGGTACAAATTAGAAGGGCTCCTGGGTAGGGCTCCGCTTTTCTGGTCATTCCCTTGATGTGTGACCTTGGCAATGCCAGTTCTCTGGGCCTCAGTTTACCGAAGGAGTTGAAGTAGATAACCCGTGGGTATATGCCAAAGGAGAGAAAAGTGAAAATAAAAACATACGCAGGGGAAAATAGAGAGAAAGAACTAGAGGGACATAGGAAGAAAGTAACAAGAGAGGCCCTGGGAGCCAGCCAGAGGTAGAGCTGAGTTTAAATCCTTGAGGCAGGATTGTGGGTGCCTGCTCCCCACTCCTTACCCCAAAGCTTCAGAGGATCCTTAAGCCCTTAATAGGTAAGGCAGGAAGGTGGAAAGAGACAGGCATCTGGAATAACAGCCACACACCAACACTCAGAGGCCTGCCAAAGCCACATAAACCAGGATCCGTGCTTCCGGCCCCAGCCCCCAGATGTAGGTGTGCCAGCCACCTGGAATGACTCACACTCTGGCGATGTGGGCGCACATGCCAAAAGTGAGCCTGGGCACCCTGCCCACCTGGCACACCACAGGCCAAGGGGGGAGATAACATTCCGGCTCTTCAGGGGGTGACGGGGCTACCCTCCCCACACATGGCTACCTTGCCCCGCGTCTCCTAGTGACCACCGCTCTGGCTCAAGGACCTAGATGTCCTTTTCCTCCCTCCCTCCTCCCCCAAACCTTACTCCAGACGCGGGAGAACCAGATGAGGTGTTACGCAAGGCCTGATGTTTACCTCTCACAGGGGCCTCCTCCTCCCTATAAAGCCTGACGTGGTGGGGCGATTGGCAGAGACTGAGACTGGTTGACAAGATAGGCAGTTCCAGGAAAGGGGCAGAAAAGTGTCAGAAAGTTAATGCGGAAGACGGAGAGAGGGGCTTCAACTCAGCAAGCAGAAACTCTGCGCGCTCGAAGGCGGTCGCGGTGGTCGCGGAAGAAACGGCGCCTAGACGCTGGCTTCCCATGGAAGCGACTGAGCTGGGCCCGGGGTTGGTGGAGCGTCTGGAGCAGCTGGCGACGTGCCCGCTATGCGGAGGGCCCTTTGAGGACCCAGTGCTCCTGGCGTGTGAGCACAGCTTCTGCCGCGCGTGCCTGGCCCGCCGCTGGGGGACCCCGCCGAAGACCAGCACAGAGGCGTCCCCCACCGCTTGCCCCTGCTGCGGCCTGCCGTGCCCCCGCCGCAGCCTGAGGTCTAACGTGCGGCTGGCGGTGGAGGTGCGGATCAGCCGCGGACTGCGAGAGAAGCTGGCTGAACCAGGGGCCCGCACTGGGAGACGCCGAGGGGGCCGCATTCCTACCATGGGCAGCCTGGACCCGCTAGGAGAGGTGAGGCCGGGGTGTGCTTCACGGGTCCGCAGCTGTTGGTGGACTGGGGAGATTCATGGGTTCCCTGGAGAAGCGAGAAATGGTACCTCCTGAGCCAGGGCCCTTATGGCAGTTGGGGCAAAGGATGGAGTTGAGGAGAGAAAAGCAAAGAAAGTGGGGTGGGTGGCGGGCAGCGGCAGTGGGGCTTGGGGAGCGGGGGCTGACCCCGAGTGCTCAAAGTGAAGTGAAAAGTGCCGAGAAGGACAGTGGGAAGGAGTTGACGCTTTGCCCAGAGGGGTGGAGCTGGACAGATGCCTGAGTCCTGTGAGAGAGCTTGGAGCAGAGACGGGGTTTGGGCACTGGACAGTGTGAGGGCCCTTTGGAGACTTTGCGAAGAGCGCAGTCTCTGCGGGAGTATAGGGAGGGGTGTCGTTAAGCTCCAGGAGGAGAAGAACCGAGGGGAAGGAGAAGATGACTGGTGTGAGGGAAAGTGGGGACCTATGAGGATGGTGGGGGAGATCAGAACTAGCATGGGGGCGAGGGGGCGGGGAAGCCTGAGGGAGAGCGGAGAAAAATCTGTAGTGGAGTGGCGCATAAGGAGGGGGCTGTCTAAAGGGGAGAGGAAGGGAGAGGGTAGCAGATCTAAAAAGCGGGGTTGGTCCCTGGGCTCTGGCCCTAGAGCTGAATGTTGTTATTGTTTTCCTGGGCTCCTCCTGGGGCCTGAGACAGCGATGAGGCAGGGCCGGAGAGAGGTGGAGGTGAAGTCCTGGAGTATAGTCCCTGGGGCCTCTCGCTCTCCTCTCCTTCTCAGCCTTAGCACCCACCAAACCCGCCTGCATCCTTCTTGGGCCTCAAATCCTTGGCCATCAACCAATCCCATTCCATTGTCGTACCCCCATGCATCAGGGATTCCTGACTGGCTTCTCCCCAGCAGCCATGCCGTCTGGGGTCTTGGTTACCTCCCTTTGAAGTCTACATAAACACAATTAATCTAAGTATAATTGGCATAATTAGACAAATTGCCTTTCCTCTTTCCCCTTCACCACCATACTGGTCTGCTCCAGTCAATCCCCGCTGGACAGGGAAGGGAGAAAGAGGAATCCTCCTACATGGAGGGGGAGCATCTTCTGGCTCCCAGGGTACCCTGCAGATCTGTTAAGCTTCCTGGGACTCATCCAAGCCCAGCTGCCTCCTTTACCAGGGTAGGGCTCAATAAACGCCACTGGGCTTTTAAGGCAAAAGGTGAAGCAGCATTATTATAAGGCTTTTATATACCAACCCTTAGCCCAAGGGCTCTGAGTACTTGTGATGAAAGGGGAAGGGGATGTTTATTTGGGAAACACCCTCAGGAAGGTGGATAAGGATAGGGGTCACTGAGACAGAGAATGAGGTTGTGGGGGCAGCAGAGAAAGGTAAGGACTCGGGGTCAAGAAATGGCAAGGAATGAGGCTGGGAACTGAGATCCTGTGGATAATGAGGAAGGAAAGGACAGCGCCTGGTGGAGTTAGGAGAATGAAATGAAAGGGCCGATGGAGTGAGAGGAAGTGGCATGAAAAGATGAGGAGACTGAGAGGAATAGAGAGCACAGAGGATAAAGAGGAGCTAATGCTGAGAGATGGAGTGGGGGGGGGGCGCGCTAATTAACTCAGACCCAGATTACCTGAATGGGAAGGGGAGGGCTCGTCCCCACAGTATGAAGCTCAGAGGTTACATCCATGTTTTCTTCTGCCCACCCCAGGATATGAAGAAGACATGGAAAAGGTGAGTTCCATTTTTACTATTCCTTCCTTTCCACTACAAGCCGCTATATCCATCACCTTCTCACTGGCTCACATCTTTGTACCCACTCACAGACAGGTTTTCTGGCTGTGGCTTTACCCCTTCCTGCTTCAGAGATGTGAGTGGGGTAGGAGAGGGGACATCACAGGGCATAGGGTATTTACTGATTTCCTGACTCTGCTCCCTCATCTGTCCAGATTGGATGCCCCAACACCCAAGTCATCAAATTCAGAGGACGATCTCTCTGAAGATTACCCAGTGGTCAAAAATATGCTTCACAGACTGACAGGTAAGGAGGGCAGAAAGGAGGGGACTGAATGAGAGTGTTTTAGGCTTGCTCCCTTTTCTTTCTCAAATATAATCACATCCTTTTTGATGTCCATATTAGTTTCCTAGGAATGCTGCAGCAAAGCATCACAACAGAAAATTTTTTTTTTGTCCCACAGTTCTGGAAGTAGAAGTCAAGATGTTGGCGGTTTTGGTTCCTTCTGAGGGCTGAGAATCTGTTTCATGACTTTCTCCTAGCTTCTGGTAGCTTCTGACGTTCCTTGGCCTGTACTTGGTATTCTCCATGAGTCTTCACATCATATTCTTTCTGCACATGTGTCTAGGTCCAAATTTCCCCTTTTTATAAGGACACCAGTCATATTGGACTAGAGCCCACACTAATGACCTAATTTTTACTTGATTACCTTTGTAAAGACTATTTCTAAATAAGGTCACATTCTGAGGTATTGGGGTACTTCAACGTATCTTTTTGAGAGAAAAGAGAATTCAACGCATAAGAATGCTTATCCTCAATTCTTCATATTCCACCCTTCTCCCCTCTTACCTTTTCATACTCTCACAAAACAGACCCCTGGAGGTCTTGGGAATCTCTGCTTTCACCACTTTTCGTCACTCCCCTCCAGAAGGATCTAAGGAGTTCTGCATCTCCTTGTCCCTGGGACTCTGGGCCTTCTCTGCATCTTCTGGGGAGTTCCTTTCCCAATCACTCCCAAGGCTGTTATCCACCCTTCTTTAAACTGTCTAGAGATGTTCCACCTTCTTGGTCACCCACCATCCCACTCAACTCAGATTGCTTCTAGCACCCCTAATCCAGAAATCTTTCCTCAGGGTACCCCATACACACAAAGTACCCCATATATACAAGGCCAATTTTTTTCTTTCTGGTTCCTTTGGCTATCATCACCTTCTCTCCAATTCTGCCCCACTCTACCTATAGAAATAGGCCTGTCCTCTCTCAACCTATTCCTGTGAGTGGGCTGGTTTCTCAGGATACCTAGGATTCCTCCCTGTGCTCCTCCCCTCTGACACTTGGGGTTCCTGTCTGGTATCAGTCTTTCTGTTTAGATCCACCTTCCCCATCCTGCTGACCCAGCTCCCATGCCCCACCCCAGATACTACAGATTGAGGTATCAGTTCTCACTCCTCCCTCTACATCCAATCTGCCTTAGTGTTCCCCAACCCCACAAACCAGGCAATCTCCTTTGATCTCCAGGCTGTACCCCCTGCTCTGGGCCAGCCAGTCCTTTTCCAAGTCCAACTCTTCAGAAGTAAGTGGCACTTTAGTGCACAGGGTGGGTCTTGCTCAGGCCTACCCTTCATATGCCTTCATTTCCTTTGGTCTCACTGCCCTTTCCAGCCTCTGAAGTGCCCTATGCTGCATATTCTCTGTCCTAGCCTACCTGTGACTCCAAAACCCCTCACTAGGTTCTCTCTGTCTTGCTCTCCTCAGCCGACCTAACCTTGGACCCTGGCACCGCACACCCCCGCCTGCTCATCTCTGCCGACTGCCGCAGCGTCCGACTGGCCCCACCAGAGACACCTGTGCCCTCTGACAGCCCAGATCGCTTCGATCAGCTCCCAGCTGTGCTGGGCGCACAGGGCTTCCGGGCTGGCCGCCACTGCTGGGAGGTGGAGACTGTGGGTGCTGCCTCCTGCGGAGACTCTTCTGAGAATGAGGACGACTGGGAGAGTCACTATGCCTTGGGCGCGGCTGGAGAGTCCGTGCGACGAAAGGGCCGTGTAGGGCTGTGCCCCGCGGGCGCCGTGTGGGCCTTGGAGGGCCGCGGCGGCCGCTTGTGGGCACTCACGGCACCAGAACTCACCCCGCTGGGGGGCGCCGGGCCCCCACCACGGCGGATTCGCGTGGACTTGGACTGGGAGCGAGGCCGAGTGGCTTTCTACGATGGCCACTCGCTTGACCTGCTCTTCGCCTTCCAGGCGCCTGGTCCCCTGGGGGAGCGCGTCTTCCCGCTGCTCTGCATCCGAGACCCCCGTGCCCGGCTGCGCATCGTGCCAGCCGAAGGCTGAGAACATTGCCTACAACTTCTTTCTCGTTTGGCTCACAGTGAGGCTGCTTCCTTTTGGTATCGGAAATCCCTACTCATTCCAGGGATCATGTACAAGCCAGCAGCCAGAGCATTGATAAGTACACCCCACCCACCTACATTGTCTCTTTCCTCCCAAATAGGAAGACCGCAACTGGCCTCCAGTTTCCACATCCACTCCCAAAGCCGAATCCATTCCGGCTCCTCCCTCTTGGGAGCTGCTCCCCAGCTACCCCAGAACCTCCTAACTGTTCCAGGTCTGAGTTGGAAAACAGGCTGTGCCCCACTGGAATTGGCAAATTGCCCATGTATACTACACAGAGTCCCTGCTAGTCAAATATTTACCTCCTACTCTGCTTCTCCTAGTCTCAAAGAAGGGTCCAGAGCCTTCCCCACAGGGCTTTTGGCCCTGTCCACTCTCATGTTGCTGGAGAAACAAGGCCCTTCTCCTAAAAAACAAGAGGCCTGACTCTGGCCTGGGCCTTGGGGCTCTCTAAGAAAGTTAATATCATTTTTGTTTTGGAGGAATGAGGATCCTACCCCACTGTGACTGCTTTTCATGTTCACAGTCTTTTCCCATTAAGAACTTTCTTTAAACTACCTGCTGCACATACTCACAGTAAGGAACCAGTGGTGCTACCTTTTCTCAACCTGGGCCCAGGCACCCCAAATTCATCCTTGTGTATAGTCTCACATCTTTCCCCATATGTATAAATGGGCCCGTATTTAACACGTTTTGTGATGTTGGGTTATTTATTTTGTACATCTGTGGCAATAAATGAGATCTCCAAGGTGGTATGGATTTGACCAATCTCTGCAACTGTGCATGGCAAGAAACCTGAAAAATGATATTCAGATCCCAGTAAGGGTGGAGAGGGCCAAGAGAGCTGGACATCTGGACTGGCAGGGACATCAAAGCCTAGGAAGGAAGGGGTAAGAATATAGTGTAGGGGATGTACCCCCATCTCTTTGCTCCCTTTCCTTCCTCTTCCATCCCGGCCCCTGGGATGAATTTGGATCTGTCTCTGAAGCTGGAAGACCAAAGGCTGAGGAGATAGTTGGTTCTAAGTGACCACTCTTGAAGCCAGCTTTGTCAGAAATCCTAGATCACATGAGAAGGCTGAGGAGAGTGGACATGACTACTTCTTTTTTCATTTTCCATTAAAGGTGAGAATGACAAACACCTCTCTCTCCTAGCTCCTCTTGAAGGCATGAGGGGAGTGAGCAGGAGGGGAAGGGGAGGGCTGGGAGCCCTCCCATAACACCTCACATACCACAGGCAAGGACTAAGAGTTATGACTATATAATCACATCAGTGGAAGAGCTCTAACCAGGATTCACAAGCATAGCGGAGGCAAGATTGCCTGGAATCTGACTGGGACCCTGGCAGTAAAAGCTGGGGCTGCTGGAAACCCAATTTAAATGTTTGAGACTCAAGTAGAGAGTGCAAGGGGCCAAGATAACTGGGTCCCAGGACAGCCAGTTTGGCAGTGAGAACAAAAGAAAGATACGGAGACCAAGATGCCTGGATCCCTGGACAGGATGATGGGTATTGGAAAGAAAAATGAGAGCTGGGGGAACCCAGAAGCCTGAGTTCAAGAATAGCAGCAAGTCAGAATTCCAGGATCTCTGTCCACCCTCCTCTCCTTCTATCAGGCAGAGAAGAGGAGAGGAGGGGGGCTGGAGATGGGATCAAACCATGGGTTTAGTCCCAAAAAAGCCACATGAACACATTCAGGGCCAGACAGACACAGGAATGGTGGGGGAGAGAGGAATTTAGTGCTGCATTGGCCCTGGAGGGGGCTGGGAGGGGTCAGGAGGCTGGGGAGGGGTGGTGGGGCTGGGTCCTGGGGTTGCACGACTCCGTCCTTTTCGGTGGCCCCGTACACAGTGTGTATGACCACAGCCCTCCTCTTCCTCCTCATCGCTCTCTGTGGAGCTCTCGCCAAAGGCCCGAGGTTTCTCATAAATACAGCAGCCTGGATTTGGAAGGAGGAGCCCAGTTAAAAAGGAGGAAGAATAAGATGTAGAGTCAGTTCCATTCCCACTGGATCTCAGTAAAAATTCCTACTTCCACCATTGTCTCCTACCTTGCAGGATCCAGCTTCCCCAGCTCCCCCCTCTGGGACTCAGACATTCAATTCCCTTGTCTTTTTAGAGAGCCAGGAATCCAAAGCTCCACTTCTCCCACCTCTGATAGCTCCTGCCTTCAAGCCTTGGCACATTCCAATTTGAGCCCCTCCCTACCTCTTTCCCCTCTAACTTTAACCTCCTCTCCCTGATGCCAGAGAACTACCAAGGCATTGTGAGCATCTTAAGAAGACAGATGAAGGTAAAAGGTATGAAGATGGGCGCCAGAACTCCAGGGTTACTGTGGGCCAACAATTACTCACATTTTGATGAGCGGCGCCCCATATGTTCATTGTCCACAGTATCACTTGTCCATTCCACCTTTTTCTCTGGCTTCCGTTTCCGAAGTTTGATGGTTAGGCTCCGGTTCTCCTGGAAGGTTAATAGGGATGGGCATACCTATGCAGTCCTCTCCTATTGACCATTCCCACTCCCATCCAGGGCCCTACTATCTGCCCTATCCCAGTTCAATCAGTATCACAGACATAACACCAGAAGAGTTGAGTGCTGGGAAAAGATGAAATTAAACAGGTCTTTGACCTCCTTGAGGAATCATGAAATAGTATTTCCTATTCTTGATTACCACTAGTACACAGAGAAGACACAATTCATAACCTAGGGAATGTCCCAGCAAATCTTCAAAGGAAAGTATAACCCTCACTGTTTCTCCGTCTTCCTCCTTGGGGTACTAATACATGAAAATTATTTTCTCAGTCTTGATGCCTAATCTATGATCTCTATTTTTCCAAACCCCCTATTCTTTTTACCATTAAAGAAAACTCCATTCTCACCTCTCTCATCCTCAAGCCCTACCTCTTATCCACCTATTCCCTAGCATAATGGAATCTCTGGTAACTATTATTCTAATCTCCCTTAATCCAGGTGTAATTAAGCTCAATACAACCATCTCCTTTTGAAAACAACCTGTTTTTACAAAAATGCTTTTTTCTCTATTTACATCTCATCTGATTTTTCAAAATATTATTTTCATCCTTTTGCTTCCTTTCTCTCTGCTTCTTTACATTCACCCCTTCGACAAATATTTATTGATGAGTACTCTTCCCATCAAATTCCCCTACAGCTGGCCTCCAACCATGCTTTCTTACACAGCCCTTCATTTGCCCCCAGAACCTCCCTTGCTCCTTAATCCCCAGGTTACCATTCTTTCATTAATTATACACTTCACTACCCCAAGCAGCATCGCCTACGTCCTAACTCTATTACATGTGGCTTGATCAGCCTTCAGCACCATCTCTGCCACTCCAAATATCCCAAGACCTTGCGATTCTCTGAACTCCGATATTCAAACCCACTCCTCCCATATCCTCAAGCCTAGCCCCTCCGGCAACTCTCCGAAGCCCTATCCCCTCCCTCCCAGTATATCCCAGATCCCCAAACAGCACCGCCCCCCGCCTTTCTCACGGGCTCGGTTGTCACGGTAACCGTTGTCTCAGTGACGGTCTCACTCAACCCGGCCCCTGCCTCGGCCATGGCTAAGGCTGAGGAAAGGGAGGAAGGGATGAAGGGGGATGAGACACCCTTCCCTTGTTCTGTGTCTCTAGGGTCTAAGAAAATCGGTATCGGATTCAGAATAGTAGCCAGGATCCTCCACTTCCTCTTTCCCCCTCGTCCTAGGCCTCCGCTTCCCCACCCCTTGGGATAACCTGTCCAACCCCACTTCCGGCTCTCCACTTCCGGGTGTGACGCAGGCTGTGGTAGTACCACTTCCCTTCCCCGACACTAAATGCGTCAAAGCGCAGGCGTCGCCAGATTAGTTCCGTCGTAATGTAATAGTGCGCAGGCGCAGCGAGGAGACAAAAACTTGGCGTAAGAGGCGTCACTGCGGTGGTGGACGGAGGGAAGTCAAGAGCCGCAGGCACAAGCACTTCAAGCAGGAGGGGGCGGTACCGAAGAGGAGAGGCGGATTCGGCGTTGTAGACTGGGTGCCGCACTTTGGTTCATACATCTTGTTGCTGAGCCCATTCCCTCCCATCCCCTGGATGGGTGGGAGGACGAGACTACTAAAGCAATAGTAGTGATCCGACAATGGTCTATTCTGTTTCCTTATTTCTTATGGGAATTACGGGAAGGGGATCTAGGAGCAGTTGGAAACACACTTGATTAAGAACCTGGGTTCTAGTACTCGCCCTGTGCCGGCAAGTGTTCGAACGGGGCACCTGATGCGTGTTCAACTTAGATTTTTTCCCTGTCATTGTACTAGGCCTTGAAGATGGAAGCGCATGAAACACTTAGACCCTGCCTTTTAGCTCCCAGTGTTGTGGGAAAGCCTGGCATGCTTAGGACTAACAAAAATATTAAGACATTGGGATATTAACGTAGATGTAAATGTCATCTGTGAAAATTTGAATATGTTTATTGTGCCTGGACTATATACTTATTTCCCTTTTAAGTTTTTGGTTCAAAGTAAAAAAAGTAAGGTACAACTCAGCATATATATTATAGCCCATTAAAAGAAAAACATCTCTGTGGAGTGGAATTCCCGATAATTTTTACTTTTTTCTACATGTTACAATAAATTATATATCACATTTATCTCAAGAGCAACAAAAAAGCAATTTCCAAATGTCCACCTGTAGTAAGTACATACTGATATCCCTTAGTATCAGATTTTTAGTTGTTCAAACTTAACGTATCAAATAGGTCTGGGTAAATTTTTTGTTGAATCTCTCCAAACACTTTTTGTT